CATCATCGACAGAGGTTCGGTCATTTTTAAAACGTGAATGCCACACAAAAGTTTGCGGACTCCCCAAATGCTTGCTTTAGCATTTCATAGGTTTCCGTAGCCGTTTTGGCGAGTCTTTGGCCAAATTTGATGCACACGCCATTCCGAAATCGCAGGAGGGTCGGTGTAATGCACTACCAAAACGCCCGTAACTAAGAAACAAATGCTAATTCGATGATGCCGGCTGGCACACTGATTCACTATGAATGTAGGCCGCACCCCCTAGCGGCAGAAGCTCGTACTACATCCGGTTCGCCCTCTATTGACACAGTCTCGAAACTTTCCGATCGCACCTCGTATTTGATGGAGATTACTCGTTTTAAGGTCATTTATCTAGACTTTTATCACTTAAATACTCTTAGGTCCAAATATTGTTACTCCATCACTCACCTTCATAGCCGTCCATGTTAAGGTCGCCAACGTTAGCGACGGCTGTACCAAACCTCGCGCCGTACCGTCGGTTTCCCATTATCATCCGATCTCCTGTTATCTCCTTAAACCTTCCCTACAAACCCCAAAAAGGAGATTAGCAGAAATGTGTATGTACAACCGAATATGGCGTCTAAACTTGATATAAATATAGATAAAACGTATAAAAATTCATAACCGAGTTACGATAGTAGCTCTTAGTATTTAGAATTCTGATTTTTAAGTTTTTATTTATTTTTAGGGATATATTACTTCTTGGTTTAATAGTGATTTCGAGTTCGGGTTTCAAGTCAAATTATATTAAATTAGCCGGTTTTGCAGAAACACGTACTTAGTTCTACTCACGTTATCGCCGTTGATGAACACGTAAATACGACCTTCGTCGCCCACGAGCTTAGCCGAGTTCGTCGCTTGTAGTGAGAACTGGGGAGCTGCTACGACCAAGTCATCCAGACGGTCCCCGTTCAAATCTACGACGCACAGCGCTCCACCGAAATACTCGCCCATCTGCGTACCGTCGAGGTCTCTTATATACTGCAGGTCCTCGTCTTCATGATTCTCCGGGAAGTCGAACAGATAAACCTTCAAATATAAACGTACCCTCTCACGTGACTCAGAATTTAATTTTCCGGGCACCGAATACTCCGATGATGGACTTCCGGGTTGTCACATGGTGTCATCTTTTTACTAACGATTCAAAGGATAACTGTTAAATTGCTACTCTGAAGGTGAAGGCGGTACTTTAACCGAAACATCCTACAAGACGAAGAGATATCATGACCTGGAAGACCACAATCGACTTAGCCTGTCATCCTGACAGGAAATAAGACTAATGTTATCAGACTATTTGTAATGCAGATGAGTTTAAGAGATTTGTAAGGCTTTATTCTAGGTTAGGGGTAGATATTTATGTTTACTTGAGGGCCGAATGGAACAATTTTGAAATGACCGTGGTCGCGTAAGTCTCGCGAGAATATTTCAATTCTTCAACAACTATTAAAATTTATCATTACTTACGACTGAACACAATTTTTGTTAAATTACATTAAAATATATAAGAATTGCATTACTAATAAATAATTGAACACTTTATTTACTTGTTACAAAAAAATATGCTTTCGGTTGCCTTGACTAGAATATATATTATCGAATAATGATTTAGAAATGGTCTCGAAGGAATAGGTCTTGGATTATTTTAAGGTACTATCCCACAGTTTGTTTGGAGGTTATGGGATAAGCCAAAGATAGCCTCCGGGATTAAATTTTAATCCGGGACTTCAGAGAACGAAGCAAGGATACTAACCACTCAACAGCAATATTCGTTAATTTAGAAATGATATTTTAAGTTCAAATTAGTTTTCAAATTTTTCGTAGATACAGTAAATGACAGTTGTAAATGCGATAAATGACCCAAAATCTTTCATTTATATAATTATTTATACGTCATTGGTCGACGCGATTTTCCGGGATTACAAAAGCTGATAAGTTCTGTGGATATTTCAGCGGGGCAGGAACACAGAGGGGTTGAATTACAGAAATATATACGTCCTTCTAACCTTGCCTTTGTAATGGTTTGCTCTTGGGGCCCCACTCACGTACAGATGCGTGGGTCGAGAACTGAAGAACCTTCCAGAACTAACGGAGTATCCTAAAACACACAAATTACACTAATTAGCAACTTCTCTGTTCATTACGCTCTTAGATAAATTGTCGTCTTGTTGGAACAATTCGAATGCCAATTCCTAATGTTATGATAATGATCAGGGTTCTGACTTAGATAGATTGCATTTAAAATTATTTATTATCAGGACTTTTTTCATCGTATTTTTTCAAAAAGCTCACGACGTTTCGGAGGCAGAACCAGCCTCCGAAACGTCGTGGATTTTTAAAGAAAATACTATGGAAAAAGTCCTGATAATAAATAATTTTAGATGATGAGTGCAATATTCAACGCGAATATCACATTTTCAAGCCTTACAAATCACTTTGTGTGTGATATAAATTTAGACTAAATTAAAACTTAAAATCCTTTACGGCTTGTGCATTACGACACAATTCCTTTATAAAGTATAAAAATGTTGCTAAAAGCTGAAATATTCTGATCATATTTTAAGCTAAGAAACTTTTAAATCTTATTAATTATACCAGATTTAATCAAAATCCGTTCCAGCTATGGCTTTAACGGAACTAATTGATTTCCTTACTTAAACCTACTCGTTGATTAACTGAGTTACACTTCCTTTAGTAACTAAATAACATTCTGAGTTATTGAACAGTTAAGCGACTATCGGATTCTGCCCGAAGTGATTTAGTGAGACATTTGATGATAATTTATCGAAATGCAATGCAGAACAATGAATAACGTTTGTAAAGGTCGCGCGTGCAGTGCTGACATCTACACGCGCGATGTGTAAGCCGAGAGAGGGGAGTTCATTAGTAGTGGGGGTCGCACAGCATCAGCTGCGGTGACTCACCGAACTAAACACAGCTTGAGCTACAAACCAACTGAAGCTGACACCCCTCTAGCGCGTGCTTTGGACGAGTCCATCTCATACGACCCAAAATCAGTCCTTTGCGCAAGCGCCAGCAGTCCTCGCGTGACCTATAACCGACTGACATCATTCCACTGGCATACGAGTAGTTAGTTGTTCACGAGTTACAACGCGCAGTGAAGACTACTTTTCACAGATCTGCTACAAGGTCGCACAGCTGGTCTTTTCCCACCACAGGACAAGTTCAGTGTTTACGTCCAGCGATAACCACGATTCATCTATTGTCAACGATGATAAAACCAATTGCTTCTCCTATTTATTTATGCAACTCGTTGTTCTTAATTTACAGTAACACAAACATAGTAACAAAAAAAGTTACTAAATAGCATTTAAGGACCAGTGTGTTAAAACACGATTGTAACAAACATTTACTAATCATGACATTTTGAACCGACAATGAATATGATGAGATATTATTATGATAAAATGATCTTGTAATGATAATGATACAAGGAAAATGTGAGTGTAATGGCGGCCGTAGCCTATTTCATAACACATTACACACGTTACAGTGGGAGAATTGAGACAGATAGCTACATTTCTAGACCGAGTTTTGTTCTTAGAAGAAATATTTTCGAAAAGCAAGGCACATATAACTTACCCAAGTAACTATTCATAGGAACTGTGTTTGACTTCAGAGCGTTGGGAACTTCGGCAAAGTAATAGTTTTCATGGTTTCTGCGCCTGCGCGGTGATCCTCCTGACAATTCCCCGTCTCTCATTCGAATGACTGTACCTAAAATAAAGCATTAGAATAATTTCCGTAGAATTTCGCCATATTTCGAGAGTAGAACTATGTAAGCCACAGGATGGAACGTGGACATGCTTCCTGAATGATCAACTTACCTTGCCAATCAAGGACGCCGGGAGCTCCAATAATGAATTCATTGCTGTTCTGAAAAGTAAAAATATAAGTTTTAAAATACCTACGTTTAAACAATCTGTTGTTATAAGCAAATTCATTGAAGATAAACTATGAAGGGAATGGATTCGGTGTGATAAGACCTGTCAGTCAAATTTAATTTTGGGTCGCATCGTTCAAATTACGTCACAATTACACGTGAAGATCAAACAAGACTTTACAGATTTAATCTAAAACTGCTCTTTTAGGTTAAAGCATAGAACCGATCGTACAAATAGACGTAGTAATGTTGACAAATAACCTAAACCTAACCTAACCTAACCTAACCTAACTTAACCTAACTTAACCTAACTTAACCTAACCTAACCTAACCTAAAAGTAATAAATGATTTCGTATAATGTATGACGCAATATATGCCATTTTTGTTTAAAATTACTGTCTTCTGGAATAATAATTTCTACCATACTACACGGAGCAAATCCTCGAATACAGCCATCTTCATGTGCGTCACCGTCAACCTAAATACATTTTCTGTTACTGAACTCAAATTATTGGCTCTAATGTCAGTTTATTGCATATACACAGAAGACTTTGGAAAGCCAATTAATTAGACAGGGATCTCAAGATAAAATGTCATACGTTCTGCCCATGACAAAGATAATAATTAGACCAATATCCGTGGTTTACCCAATTTCGTTCATATTTTGTTATATGTGGTACCTTTGTACCCTGAATATCGCCTACCCGGAATAACATCACCATTTTCCAATCATGTCAACTTACTTAAAATATAACTTACAGATCTTAATGTGATTATTTTTAAACATCATTTACTTATGTTATTACGATTTTGAGAACACAGATAGAATTCTGACAAGAACAATTAATGAGATGACAATGTTGCGTCATTATTGTGTTGAATATATAAAGTCTGGAAGAGAAAAACTTTCTGATATTTGATGGACATCTGCCGAAGAATTGCACTTAGGATATTACATTTGAGTTTATATGGATCATACACCTGAAGATGGTTCATTTAGAACCGAAACATGTAGTGTAAAAGACGATGCTCTAATGTAAATCGAAATATTCGATAGAGAGCATCATTTTAATATATTTTAAATGTTAATAATAATATTTTATTGTGATTTGACTGATAAAATTGAGCAGGAACAATTAAATACACCCGACAACTTTTAAACGTAATGTAGCTCCCACTGTCAAATTTCATAGGATTCCGTTAGTTCAGAGATAAAACGTGTCATCAGATGGACGGATACGACCCCCCCCCCCCCCCCCCCAGTAACACGTCGTGTTCTTTTCGAAAATAACATTTCCTATTTTTCTGGTCACAAAGTCAGGTCAATAAACGGCCTGTTTTACAAAATAAATAATAAAATAAAATTTACCTGTGGAAAATGTGCGCTGAAACCGGCTTCTCCATATGCGTAATTGAAATAAACATGAGACTGGTATTCGTCGGATTGTTTACCTAAAACAAAATACCACGTATATGATTTCAAACAGCATATTCAATACAAATACAGCTAAATTCCCGAAATCAAATGACCTAATTTAAAACTTCATTTCACAAAATAAAATATAAAACAAAGCAAAAGAATGTTCCTGGTACTAAACTATGCACCAGGCCATGCAGATATGTAAGGCAATGGAGGTATAACTCCACGTATTCTTAAGATCGTCACAAGGTGATGAGTGGTCAGCTTAATCTCCGAAGAATTAATCCCGACGCCCATAGGATGGTTCACTAGATGGTCACCAGAGTCCTCCTGCACGTTGTCACGAAGATAAAAATTATTCGATGCTAGGAATCGAACTCAAATAGAAATAATCCTTTCTAAAGTCTGACTAATGGTAGCATCACTTATGAGTTTACAGTTGATAGTTGATGGACTCACCCTTGAAGAGTCGACATTTTTTCAACATACGTCCACACCTGGAGGAAGAATTCTGTAACCGCAAACTGAGAACGCTGGTAAGTTAGGTCTTAAGTTAAACTCACAACCTAACTTTTCACGACTTAAATTTTCATGCAAATGTAATTTTACACCTTTATCAGGGTTTGGACCATACGTTCTGTTCTGTGCCTCGGGGGATCAGTGGATCTTAATGTACATATATAATTCATTACCTGGTTAGGAATGATTTATGATTTATTCTTTCCACTAGACAGTCGCTCTGAATTCTACAACTTAAATTAAATATTTTAATCACTTTAATTTATGTTCATAATTTTATAGCAAACAACACTTCAAATAAATTTTATCTTCCCAGTTCTTACCAGTTGTAATTTTCTTTTGTGTATCGATATTTCATAATTTATGTCCTGGGGTTCGATTCTCAGTAGCGACAAAAATCCATTTTTCCAATACCACCCCCAAATTTACTCTGGAATTCACCTATCCTATGGGTAATACAGTCTCCGCCATTGATAAATTATCCAAAGCATAAAACTCCATCTATTAATTATTTAAGGAGTATGTGGATCTTTACCTCCACGCCCACTATACGAGGTGCGATCGGAAAGTTTCAAGACTGTGTCAATATAGGGCGAACCGGATGTAGTACGAGCTTCTGCCTTTAGGGGGTGCGGCCTACATTCATAGTGAATCAGTGTGCCAGCCGGCATCATCGAATTAGCATTTGTTTCTTAGTTACGGGCGTTTTGGTAGTGCATTACACCGACCCTCCTGCGATTTCGGAATGGCGTGTGCATCAAATGTTGCCAAAG